AACCCTCGGCGGGAGCGCCGCTGCACTCCCAAGCGGCACACTGTAGCAGTGCGGCACACTGTAGCAGTGCGCCACCGGGCCGGCCCCGGGCATTTGAAAGTATTAAAAGAGGAAAAGAAGTTAAATGTACCTCATATATTTTTGTCAGCCTGAAGCCAAAAGACCCACATCACATAGATCAATATTTCCTAATCAAATAATGAGGGGATAATATAATCCGTTCAATCAAAAAGCATTGCTTCAGCCCCTACAGAGTGCCAGTCTAGGAGGGTTGGTTTCACAACCATGAAATCAAGGGTCCAGGCAATGGTATTAAGGCACAGTTCTTGATCCAAGTGAGCAGAGTTACATCTGAGAAGTCTCCAGGGAGCTCAAGGACTGAGGCCTAAGGGAGCGCATTGGAGCTCAGTGCCTTCTGACACTGTTGCCACAGAGACGCTTGGCTGTAGTTGTTTGAAGAGAAGCCAGCAGAGGGCCCTGCTTTCCTTTAAGAATGGGGCTCAGGGCTTCTCCATCCTGTCATATCTCATAGCCTCTGGTGGGCTCTGACAAGGATCTCTCAGTGATGGTGTTTTCAAACAGGAGTGCCCTACTTGGAGGAAAAGGAAACACAGAGGTATCTGAATGTCCCCAGGGCTTCTGAGCCCCCTGGAGGCCCAGACCTTCCTCCCATCATGTTCTCTGCAGCTTGACAGGTGTTCACCCACAACACCTGAGAGGGCTGAGAGAAGACCAACACCTGTGATCAGTGCCATGTCCCCCATCCGGAACAGGAAGGAAGGGCAAAATGGAGATAAAGAAAAGAAGTGTGTTTGTGGTGTTTCTCAGAAAAGGCTGTTGTGGTGACTGCCATACTGCCAGGCTCCTCCCAGAACCCAGGAGTCTTGATCCCCTGGGCTTCCTTGATGGAGAAGAATGAGGAGCTGAAGCCACCAGGTCCAGGGACATGACAGCACGATGACTTCTGGCCTCAGCTCACCTTTTGCAAAATGATTCAGGCTGCCCCATGGGCAACTGAAGCAATGGGCAACTGCAAGCATTGATATCCAGAATCTATGTTGTGCTGAAAAACAAACAAGGAAACAAAAACTCAAGGAACCTGTACCAAAGTCTGCAATGACCTGAGCTGGATACAAGATGTCCCCAGGCACAGCCAAACCACCTGCACTGCTTTGCCTCCCACCTGGATTACAGGTTCCTCCATGATTCACCTTCCATCCACCACCTCTCCCCCATCAGTCCTCAAGCACCTCCCGCTCCTTCTGTCCTAGTGAACCCCCAAAATAAGTAAACCTCTCTTGAGGACTCTAACTGCGTCTGCAATTTCATCAAGCCCCAAACTGGTTCTCTATCTGCCCTAAATTTTCATTCTACTCTTGAAGACAGGGCATGAGGGATGTGGCCTGAAGTCATGGCAGAGAAGAGGGCAGAGCACTCATGGAGACACTGAGGACATTTTGTAGTTCGTTTTAATTTGCTGCTGTGTGTGTGTGCACATACTTGTGTTTGTGGCGGAGAGCAAGACTGAGGTAACAGGAAAGCAGAGAAAGTGACATTACGTCAAAGAGAGACCAAGACAGGACCACCAAGTGCAACCAAAAACCATGTCTCTTGGGCAAACTCATTCTGTTTCAGACATCTAGGAAATAGCCTTTGTCAAGGCCTGAGTTTCTGGTCCCTTTCTTCTATGGCCTAGACCCAGCTAGCTCTGGGGAAGGAATCGCTCTGTTTAGACAGCACAAAGAGCATTCTAGGAAAAAAGTCTGAGGTTCGTGTGGAAAGGGTGTCTTTCTCAACAGCACACAGTGTTTCAGGAAAGATCAGAAACATAAAACCATGGAGAAGAGAAGTGGCACCCAATTTAGCCTGCCCAGGCCAGGGCTGAGCCAAACCAAAGTTACAGCCAGATGACCCTCATTTCTGGAGACCTTTGTGTGGAAAGGGAGAGAAAGGCGGTGACAGATGGGAAGAGGAATTAGAACAGAAGCCCTGCTGAGTGTGCTGGGTCTCCCCAACTAATAGCCTCGGGACATGGAGAACTGTGGGCAGATGATGCCCCCTGATGGAAAAACACCTCGCTCACCACCAGCACTAAGGAAACGGCCCTGCCAGCATCTCTGCCCAACAGCCACCCACCCTACCTTAGGGGCGGAGGCACCTTTGACATGCCTTCTCATTGCCCCACCCCCACCTGCATCCCACCACCTGCTCACTTGGTCTACACCTTCTGGGATAGAGAATCTCCCAGCTAAAAGCAGAGGGGCTCAGCTACAGCAGCCCATCCTATCTCCCACCTCTGCAGAGGTCTCAGGACCCCAGGCTTAATTCTCCCTGTCTCTCTCTCTTTATGCACCTCCCAGTTGGTTCCCATCGTGCCTGGGGTCTGAGCCTCCTTGCGGACTCCTGACCCAGTGTATGGCTTACTCAGGTTGCAGACCCAGCTCTGTCTCCTGACTTTCTAGTTCAGCATTTGGTAAGCCCTCCACTGCAGATCCAGACCCTGGTCCTTCCTGAAGGTCTTTACATTTTAATAGATCCAGTTTGGATTGGGGTGTGAGAAGTTTGGATGGGGGGTGGGTATTGAGAAGGGGGTGATTATTCCAGAGGCATGAGGGGGGATATGGGAGTATACATTGAGAGATTCAAGCCACTGCTCTTCTGAGCTCCCAGCATTCCCTCAGGTTTCCTCCCAGCACCCCTCTGAGGATTGATACTGGCATTAAAATGCAACATGCTTTTTATTTATGTGGAGAGAATAGCTAACATCAATTGATTGTTTTCTATGTCCCCCTGCATTATACTAAAGTCTTCACGTGAATTGTACTGTTCAATCCTTGCAGTAACCCTCTGGGAAGGGTAGAGTTACTGTCTGCATTTTACAGACGCAGAAACTGAGTTTAGGGAGATTAAGAAACTTCCCCAAAGCTCACATGTGGCAGAGCCAAGGTCTACACTCAAGCCCTCCAGAGTCTGTGATTAAATCCCTGTGCCATTCAGAGAGTGTTCCCAGGAAGGCAAATGCAGACTCAGCAGGGAGGCCACTGCGGTTAAGAGGCCAGAAGGGAGCATCTGTATGGGGAGGGAAAAGGCTTGGGAGGGCTGTCAGGGCAGAGGAGGAGGGGTTGGATATATGGTTGGGAACCAGGGGAGTCTGCCTATGTGGTTTTTATTCATCTGCCCAAGGAGGGTCTCTCACTGTGTCTTTGCTGCAGGTGCAGTACAGAGTTCTGCCCTGGGTAACGTTGGCCACATGAAGCCTCAGCTCAGTGTCAGTGACCCGTGTGGCCAGGTAATCTGCTCCTGGAAGGGATATTTTCTCCTTATCTCCAGGATTCCGTAGAGTGGCCAGCATCTGTAATTGCCCCTGGAGATCCTGCTGGTACCAGCTCATCCAAGGGTACTGGGAATTCCTCAGGATGCAGCGCAGGGTCTTAGCCCGTCCACGTGGTACCAGAACCCACTGGGGCCTTTGCTCCACCAGGCTTGCCGTGATGTCTGAAATACACAGGCAGGCAGGGCTGGTCACACCCAGGAATAACTAATTGAGCTGAGTCCTGAAGAGGGGACAGAGGGATACTTCCTCAGCGTGAGGGGCTGTGCCTGGGAGGTCTGTGGCAAGGCTGGGTTTAGGAGCAATTTCTGAGCCTATGGCACTCCAGGGACAGGGTCCCTCCTTCTCTCCCTCATCCCACCAAGCGGCCTGCTCAGCTTGCCTTCTGACCTGTACTCACTGCGACCATGAGCACCCAGCCGAACAGAATGGGAAATAGCCCCATCCCCTGGCCCCTCAGAGGCTGTCTCCAGCAGGGCTGGCCAGGCGGGAGAGCAGGACACCAGCCTACAAGGCAGCAATCAGTGACTGACAATCTATGGGCCTGAAGCTCCAAAGGGCGTGGCTTTACCAGGAAACAGAATATCTGGTCTCATCTTTTTCCTGAAGTTCGAACCTCAAACTGAAGAGCACTTTCCTGCTTCCTGAGCACCAATGTGTCCTCAAACGCGTGTCCCACACCCCGCATTCACTGAGTACCTTAGAGACAAAACTTGGCCCTGCACCCTCTTGACTGCGTCCAGACATTCCTAGATCAGAGTTCTGAATCTGTGCCTCACATCTTTGCGAGGGATTAAAGCATCTCAGTGCAACCATACAAGGCCCACAGAATTGAACAAAGACATCTCTCATCCACACACTTGGCAGGTACACAGAGGGGCCACAGGGCAACACTGGGCAGTAGGACAACTGACACTCATCTCCAATTACCCGTGATTGACTGTGTGAGGGCAAACGCAAATAAAAGTAAGAGGAGGCTAATTCTCCTTGTGGAGAATAAGAGAAGAGACTCCCCTACCACATTCATTTTCTAACAGCATTTACTTTAGATAATTTGCAATCCTAAATTCTTTCTTTATCTCTTTAAAATGTATGTAAATCTTTTCTAAAGCTAAATAAGCCTCTCGCTAGCCTTATGATCCTGCAATGTCTTCCTCAAGGACCTTCCAACCATTTCTTTGAAATGTTGTCATCAAGAAAGACAGTGCTCCTACCTCCCAATTTCTAAGGGAGAGTAGAAGCCAACCTAGAACCCTAACTCAGCTTGGGTAAGAGCCTAATTTAGGGGTCTAACTTAACTTAAAGTGGATGCCTTGCACCAAGTTGCAAAACTACCTCCTATTATGAAGATAAGGGAGGTTTATTTTTTCTTTGGGTAAAGTTAATTAGCAAACACAAATGACTACCCCAATTCCCAGGTGAATCCAGGATGAACTCTGTGACAAATGGTGCTGTCAAGTCCCCTAACTTGAAGACTAGCTATTGTTTATCTTCAGAACTGGTAAGTAACAGGTTGTGTCTGCTTGGCTGTGTAACAGTGAGATTTCTTCCTGTCTTTGCAATCTCTTAGTGGATTGACTTTGATATGCATCACATTCTGGTTTAATGTTTATTCAATAATAAAACTATTTTTTTCTTCTACCTGTATAGGGAGGTTTTCTGGGTTGAGAGACTTTTTCTCCTTTATTTTTAATAATATTCACTTTTTATTAAATATATTTATTTATATTTAGTTTATATTAATTTACATATGATTACATATTATTTAATTATTTTAATTATGCATTTAATTATTTTTTCCCAGCAACTCATAGTGCTGCCCCTACCCAATAGTGTGACCTTGGGTCTCAGTTCCTTCATCTGTAAGATGGAAATAACAACAAGAACTATTTTATAGACATAAATGGATCCTACAAAAGTTCTTAGAATAGAGCTTGGCACAGACTAAGCACTCAAAAAAGCTGACTTTTATTATTGCAGTGATAAATTTTAAATTCAATTAAAATATGGATTAGCAGTAACTTTTGTCTTTAATCACCTGTTACTTAGTAATTAACTGAGATTAAAAGCACAAGTTTTCATAACTTTTTAACATTAGCAAGAGGCCTTGCTTTTCAGAACTTTGGAAAGCAATAATCTGGGAAATTAGATTTAAAAGGCCCTGTGTCTACTATCTCTCCAACCTCAGCATTTTACAGAAAACAATATGGAGACGCAGAGGGGTATTGCAACTGAACTTTACTATTTCAAGACCGAGGACTGAACTGTGTTCAAACCAGTGCTCCGAGTGGGGTGTCTGCCGCATCGCAGACTCTTGAAAAATGAAGAAGGGAACTGGAGCAGGGCCAGACCCAGACCCATCTCTCTGAAGAGTCCCCACGTCAGGGAGCAGCAACAGCCTGGCCTCCTAGCGATGGAAGCCAGATGAGGGGCCAGGAGCAGCAATTCCTTGAGGCTGCAGTCGCTTGCTCTTCCTTGAGCACCCTGCCTCCTCCCTGAGGACAGATGGCAGGATAAGGGATCCTGGGCCCATCTCCAGTTACAGAGCTGGCTGTCCTGGCTCTCTACTACTCCCCTCCCTCAGCCTTAATCCTGAAATGAGATTGGGATCAGAGTGTCTCCACACCCCTTTTATCTCCCTCCCTGGCATTCCTGTTCCCCAAGGTCAGTGCCTCCCCAGGCTCTGCCTTCCCTTCTTGTCTTGGGCAGCTCACCATCTTGGCCAAGGTAAACCTCTTGTTTCCAGACAGTGCCTAACTCCCTACCTTCTCTGCCAGGCCCAGAGTTGGGGGGCATGGCTGCTCCCTTGGGACAGTTGTTTTCTCTCCCCCCCCCCC